GCAGGTACCTCCAGCCCCTGCGGCTGCTGGCGGGGGGGGCGGTGGTCAGCCTGCTGCTGCTGGGCCTGGTGCGGGCCGCGGAGAGCCGGGCCGCCGTGCGCCGCTTCCGGAGGAACCGGCCGTCCCTGTCGCTGCTGACCATCCTGCTGGTCAGCTGCCTGCTGCTGTCGCTGCTGGGGGGGGTGGCCGTGTTCCTGTGTGGGATAGTATTCCCCATACTGAGTGAGTCACACTCTGCTCTCCGTGAAGGGGGGGGGGGGCATCTGCAGCAGATGTTCTGCTGGACCTCCTGACCCACATGCTCCTCCGTGGGCTGACCGCTCCTGGACACCTGCCTGGGGCTGAGGCCGGCCTTCAGCTGACCGGCCGGGTGGGGTGGGGAGACGCACCGGCTCTACGGCCTCAGAGAGTCTGAGGAAAGCAGGACCACTAGAAGGCTTTTGTGGCTCCTTCTGACCGTTAGGTTGTGTCCAGCTCCTGGGGGGCGGTCTGACTCTGGACTCGTGTGTGTGCTTCACAGTGATCCTCCTCCATGCGTCGCTGAGGCTGCGCAACCTGAAGAACAAGCTGGAGAACAAGCTGGAGAGCATCGGGCTGAAGAGGACCCCCATGGGGCTGCTGCTGGAGGCCCTGGGCCAGGAGCAGGAGGCGGGGTCCTAGAGGCCCGGACACGGAGGGGGGGGGGCCTACAGCTTTGATGAAGGAAGAAGGAAGGCGCACCAAGAGGAAAGCAGGCGTGTGGGCCCATCAGAAGCCGTGCACAGCGGGTGCTCTGGGACCTGGTCTGCTCTGAGCCTGCACTTTAAGCACTCTGTTTGGTTTAGGAGGGGCCGAGGAGCCCCACTCTGATCCAACACCAGCCGGTCCTCCTGCCGGGGTCCCCCCAGGTTCTCCTGCTGGGGTCTGCTTGGCGGTCTGTCTGTAAAGTGGATTTCTAAAGATGAAGTGCCATTAGTAGTGTAGTAAAGCGATCAGTGTGTCTTGTGTCTAGCTAAATGCTAAATGCTAAATGCTAAATGCTAAATGTACCTGTGTGTTTACTACGTCTTTCTACAGAATGAAAAATGCTCTCTCATCTGTGTGTGGGCTTCTTTTTTTTCTACCCAGTAACAACAGTCCGGGTCATGTTCTGAGGGGTTTGGGCTCTGTGGATGTGATTGAGAGAGTCTTTGTCATCAGGAAGGCAGCCGCCAGAGGGTTCTGTTCATTCAGGAACCGGCCTCAGAAAAGCTGTCCAATAAAAGTAGAAAGAAGACTTTCCAAATGTGAGGCAGCTGGGTTTGGGATTCTCTCACGTGAAATGAAGTCAGTCCAGGCCCTGTGGCCACAGGGACACCATGGATGTTCTCATTGATATCGATAATATCAATATTTACAAAAGAAAATAATTAGCAAGTTCAAAAAGAATTCAAACTAATTCATTATAGAAGGTATGCAGGTTAAGGGAACTGACCAATCAGATTTCAGCAGGGGACTTTTTAGCAGGTCATTAGCATGGTGATCAACACCATGTGTTCCTGTCTGCCCCAGTGCGCGTGACAGCTACTTTATGCCCCCCCC